GGAAATAATATAAGGTGAGCGGTATCGACTGATAATTGCTATTAGAAAGAACAGGAAGCTCCTGTTCCTATTGTATTGTGCAAATGTGGTGCACGTCTAAGTTTTGTGTGTGTGTATTTTACATGTTTGTTAATAAAAAATTAAAAATAATTTTTTTTTTAAAGGTGGGCTTTGATGACCTGGATGCGCCCGCCATTTTGACATTGAAGATGACCTGGGTCAAACGTGGAAGGATTCTGAGGTAAAACAAGAGGCTTCTCACCATGGGTTTGGTTGTCCCGATCTGGAGTGCGGTGCTGAGTCCATTCTGATGGAGCTCCATAACCCGCACTGGTGCTTGCCGTAATCCGAACTTTGTAGATTCTGTTTGGCTGTAACCCGTAAAGCACCAGCTGGGTTTCATTTCCACTGAGCTCCGTTGAAGAAATCAGGTCTGCGAAGGGGAAAAAGAGCCCAAAGTTTATTTCCGTAAGCAAAAAAATCAAATCGATCGGGGGTGTCAAACTCGATTTCATTGAGGGCCACATCAGGGTTGTGTTTGACCTCAGGGGCCAGGGCAGATGTGGCCAGCTCAACGTCACTTGTGTCGGGGGCGCCTGTGGTGGCCTGAGCGCTCTGTCAGTGAAAAAGAACTCCTGAGCTCCGTTTTTGGCTGCAACAGCCTCCTACAACCCTCAGCCAGAGAAAACGGAGCTCAGGAGGGCCACCCATGGCCCTCCCGAGCTCCGTTTTTGCTGGCAGAGGCATCACAGACTGGTTCCTTGCTGTTTCCAGGAAGGCCCTGCGAGCCAGATCTAAGACCAGCTGGATGGCGCGTGCGTGCCTGTTTTGGGCAGGTTTTTTGGGCCATTTTCAGGCTGTTTTGGGGCCGAAAAACAGCCAGAAAACAACCTGAAAAACACCCCCAAAATGGTCCAAATATGGGCCAGAAAACAGCCTGTTTTTTGGCCATTTTCCAGGTTGTTTTCCAACCATTTTCTGGCACTCTGGCACCCACAAAGACCAGCTGGCTGTCTGGTTTGCATGCCAGGAACCAGAAGAGCAGCTGATGATAGTGCCTGTGCCCACAATGAGGGCTCTGCATGCCACCTTTGGCAAGCATGCCATAGGTTCACCATCACGGTTCTAGAGAGTCAATAACCACCCCTTCACATTACAAGGCCCTCAGGCCTCCTCTTTCTCACCTTCCTTGAGAGAAGCATACTCAATTTTGTACTTGACAATCTTTCCATTGCTCAGTTCTGAAGGGAGAGGCTGCCATGTCGCCTTGATGTCAGTCGGAGTTACACTGGACAGGGAAATCTGAGGGGCTCCACCAGGAACTGGAAGCGAGCAATAAAAGAGATCATGCCACCTCAAAAGGACCGTCAGAATTGCAGCTGTTCTGCTCGAGAAGATATATTTCAACTTGGAGGACTGTCTCTCCAGGGATATGTTTCCCGGTTAGACTAATTTCTCTGGGAGTTTAAGGAATTCTGGATACTTTCCAGAATGACACAAAGGTTGTCCCAAAGGTGCTTTTTCAAAAGGCAACTGGGCTTTCTTTGTTTTGGCTTGAAAAGGTTTCGCTTCTCACTCAAGAAGGTTCTTCAGCTCCTGATGCAATGGTGGAGGACAGAAGGATTCTTGCAGTTAATAGAAACCTTTCCATCCTCCACCATCCAGTCGGAACTGAAGAAGCTTCTTGGATGAGAAGCAAAGCAGCTTCAAGGAAAAATGCAGTCCAGTTGCCTTTTGAAAAAGCACCTTTGGGACTTTGGTTTTTAATGTATATAAACTACCCAGAGGTGCCTCTAGCTGAGATGGGTGGCAAATAAGTCTAATAAATAAATAATTCGCTCAGTTTTTCCAACCACAAACCACCTAGCACCAGGGGTGAGATTCAGCTGATTCAGACCAGTTCGGGCGAACTGGATGTTAATTATAATCTGGTTCGCTGAACCGGTACTTACAAGGACTGGCTGGCCACACCCACCCTGCCCCTCCCCTCCCAGGAGACTCCACGCAGCCCATTCATCATGCCATGTAAGTGCAGGACCTGCGTGGAGGCTCTGGGAGGGCGGAAAACAGGCCTACTGAACTCCAAAAACTGGCCTGGGGGAAGCCATTTTCACCCTCCCGTAGGCTCAAAGAAAGCCTCCGGAGCCCAGGAAGGGCGAAAACGCCCCCTGTTACTGTGGTGCAGGAAGCCAACCAGGCCACGCCCCCATGACCACACCCCCATGAACATGCCCCCGGCAGTCGAGTAGCAAACCGGTTGCTAACATTTTTCAATCCCACCCCTGCCTAGTCCCATTTCAGCCTAGTTGGGCACCTCATGGAAACCTGGCACATCCTGACAAGGTAAACCCTCAATTATTTACACCCCCCGTTTCAGGTGGCCCCAGGGCAGATCTTCTCAGTTTCTACTCTACCAACCATCTTCCAGGGTCTGCACATTTATGGATGAGGAGGTCCGGCTAGCTCCAAGCTGGGAGTAGGCCACCACATAGAAGATATAATTGGTGTTGGGCTCCAAGTCTTTCACCGAAAACTCAGTGGTGTCGTTATTCACCGCAAACTGGTATTCCACGTTGTCAGCACCTAGAGAAGGTACACAACGCTGTCAGACAGAAAAAAGAAGAAAGAAGAAGAAAGTTTTGTTCTTTCTTTAAACTAGTTGCTTGTGAGATGCTTACAAA